TCTTTGCAAAAGAATAATACCGGATTTCCACTAAAAACAGCAGCACTACTATTTCAGTCCCTGTACCTCTTCCTTCCAACTTCACTGGCTCCCGCTGCCATGCAGTGAGCGATGGCTGCTCCCTGGCAGCCCGGCACAACTGAATGCTTCCCATGGCTCAGCGAGGAAGGAATCCTCTGTCCACTGGCTTGACTCAAAGGACATTAACTCAGTGTTCCACTCTCGTAGCATTTACACAAATACACTGATTCAGCTTTAAAGATGCTTCTCCCCATTCCAGCACACATCTGTTCCATGCCCTTAACAGCCTACACCACGTATTACTTTATTCCAGATATCTCCCGCTGCAAGCTAAACAAAATCCGTGGTTTCCCTTTGTAGGTCTCGTTCTGGCTGTCCATCACACATCCCATGGAAACAACACAGAGATTCCAATGCCACAGGATCCTGAAGTCGATTTCAGCTAAGAAGCATTTCCTAACAGAACAAGTTGTTAACCAAAAGAGATACAGGTACACTTAGCAACTGCCTCAGGTAACGAACCTCAAAAATCACAAGTCCAAGGTCACCAAATGTGTCTGTCTTCATTTCTTTTTGTGTTTTGAGGAGTAGCATTCCTCAGTTTACACCGCTACCAGCCAAGTAAGCTTCCACACCATCTGAACAATTTTGTAGAGCCTGCTTCTATTTATAAAAGGATACACATGCAGCATATTTGGATAAACATGGACAGCATTTAAAATAGCACCTCAAAAAAGACCTTAAAGAAAAATATAAAAGCTGTTTGTGTATTCATGTACAAAGGCTGAAAGGCGCACCCTGGTCTAACAGAGGCAGCCTCTCATCCTATTTCCATACACCCACATCCTCCATCTCTGCTCGCTAGGAAAAACAGGCAGGACGTTGCCTTCCCTGCATTACCCATGTGGGCTTCAAACCTGGATCTGCACTTAGCGTTCCAACAGCACTGCGATGGCTGCAGGCACCCAGCCACCAACCACCCGTAGTGAGACAGAGCTCCTCTCTCCTACAAGAGCAGAGAATATTCCTGCTGAACATAAACACCATTTTTTCCTCCCTTGAGGAAAAAATTTTATTAGCTTACAGAAGTGTCCTGTATTGTCAGCTCTGCTGCTCCCCGTGGAAGCAAAGATTACACTCTCCCGGCTATAGCCAGAAAACCCAGCTCTCTTCCAGCATTAGGAATGATTAAAAAAGACTTCTCACACTCCAGTTAAATGCATCCTCCTGTTGAAATTGCCTGGGTTTTTTTTGTGTGTTTTTTTTTTTAATCCTTCATGACAATTTTAGATACAATATAGAATAAAATTATATATCAAGATTAAATTGCCACAGTCTAAAAGGCCTTTGCTTTGGCATAGCAAGAATAAACATTTCGGAAGCTGGCAGACGCGGCCAGTTGGTAAAGCCTTACCTCTTCCAAAGTTAAACTACCGCGGGAAGCTGAAACCTCTCCTTAGTTTTACATTTAAAAAAAAAAATACCTGGCTCTTCTCCACTGAAAGCTACAATGCCTAAATTAGTGTTTGTTTCAGTGGGAACTCAGTGATGACATTCACCTAATTAAACCAGTGCATGTTTTTGGACACTCCTCCTCTCTCCAGTGCCATCCGCATGGCTCGGCACAAACCCTGCATGAAGCTGCTCCCCACCAGTGCCAGAAAGCCTTGGTTTGGCACGTGAAAAAATAAAAGTCATAATAATAATCAGAAATAGGTTAAGGCTTCAAGCAGCGAATGTGGTTTAGTAAGAATGCCCATCAGAGTGCCAGCTGTCTGTGTCTGTGGCATAAATGACCCACTCTGCCATCCTGGTGGGGAACCCAACACACAGCAGCACAACTCCCATCACATCGAAGTATTGCACCCTGGTCTCTGTTACAGACACTGTGTTGCTGCCGTGCTTCCAAGATGCCCAGCTGACTGCATGCTGCAGAAAAGTCACAATGTGGCCATTACCAGAAATTCATAGCCTACTGTATTCAGCAAAAGACTGAAGAACTTTGTTCTCTTTATTTTCATGACTAAAATAAGCCATAGTTTTTCCATACAACCTTAGGCACCTATACATGCAGGCACTGCAGCTAAGCTAAAATGGAGAGGATGCTGGCAATAGAAACAACAGTAAGTAGCATAGTTTGAACCAGTGAAGAGCATTGCCAGCTCCAGCATCATCGTTCACTGGGTGAAGTTAAGCTTTATAGCACAATGCTCACTGACAGCTAAGTCGCAGTCTCTACTAATACTGCAGTTACACAACCTGAAGTTGGAAAGTAAAGCTGGAAAGTTGACGAGATTCGGGTTCTGCGGATGACCACACTAATGCTTACATCACAGCAGCCAGCAGTCCAAGGCAGAAGAGCCCCGACTGGGTTGGAATGGTTTACACTGTTATCCTTAATGAAAATACAAAGGAAGGGTTTTGGAAGAAATAAGCTCAATACGCTGCAGCTGAATCACTCTGGATTCTGGTAACATTAAGCAGAATCGTTCTTCCTTCTTTGTGCCATTTGATTTGTTCCTGTAAGTAAATTAACCTAATTATTATATATAGCACTATTTATACATTCATTCGCAATGCTTACAGTTAATGCACATTTACTCCCCTACTGTGACAAACCAGAGCACCTACTCACACAGCCCTGGTTATTATTAGAGGCGCACACCGGGAGCCGAGGGCCCACAACACACCCGCTCTCAGACGCTTTTCCAGGCAGAACAGTGACAGCTAAGGAGCTCAGATCCCCCTCACAGAACCAGAAGGAATACCACAGGGATACAGCAAACGCTAGACAGTCAGCCGAGGAAAAAGAATAGAGAAGCATCTCTCGTGGAACCTTCCCAAGTGAACGCATCAATCCCACTGATCACCACCACCGTGACATCACAGCGCACACAAACACCCTTCAGGTGCTACTGTTCAGCAAAGTTGTTTGGCCCACAGCTACAAATAAAGATTACACTGCCTAGAAGCCAGCCCTGGCATCAGACAGCTTTCCGTCCAGCAGAAGGCCCTCATGGTGCGTGGCTGAGCACACAGGCAGGCTGAGAACGCTGAGCTCAGAGCCATTTCAGAGAGCTGCTGAGGAGCACGTGTAGTGCCCAGAAAGCATGCTGTCTCCTACTCCGTAAGCAGTTTTTGAAATCACTATTCGCTTTTTTCCACATATATTGTATTATTATATATTATATTATTATGTATTATTCATTTCCACATGCTGAATTTGGTGGAGTCTGTGACATCCCACTGGGCTGATCTGCACCAAAATCTGCTGTGAGAATCCCATCCTTTGGCCAGTTTCATGCACTTACGTACAGATAAAGTCCTGAACAGACAGAGCAGCCTCAAACCTCAACAACACAAACAAGAAATGAGCAGAAACTCAAGTAAATCATCACCTGCTAAAGTTCCCGTGCTGCAACCAGCAAGCAGGCTCATATGAGCAGCAGAGCTTGAAGCGGCGGCAGGCAGTGCCTCCTCTGCTGCAGCACTGCTGTGTGTACCAGCAGGAGCAGTGCATGCTGGCACCCAGGAAAGTGCAATCTGCACAGCCTGAAGTAACGCGTCACAACAAAAGGAAAAGCCCACCAGGAAAAGATGCTACCAGTACACATACTGCATGCTTTGCTCCCAAAGACAGACATCACTAAAACTGCTCAGGATAAAAAAAATAAAAATAAAAAAAATAAAAACAACAGCAAATCTGTGCAGATCTGTCCAAGTATTTCTGAATGGACAGGACTTCAGAGACTGCCTAACAGCAGTTGCTCAGTTAAGTGTTATTTTCATCACAGACACAGCTTGGCAGCAGCACGGAGCGTGTGTCTGGGATGTTCTCTGACACAGCACTAACATTCCAAGATGCACAGGCCAAGTTACAATATGGAGATATCCTAAAAATATCTGATTTTGCATGTAATTATTCACTGCTAACAGAGAGCGGGATTAAGTTTGAGATTTGGCAATAGACACAAACTGTTCCTCGGTACACTGGCAGATCCTGACAGGACATCCCCGGGCACCCCGCTGCCATGGCAGGGTGTAACAGCCCAGGGCTGCACAGCAGCACACCCATCACAGCTGCACGTTCAGAGCATCACACAAAAAACAAGGCGCAGCTCCCGAGACAACCTCAGCCCATCTCTCCAGGTGCAGGGAAATGCCGGCATTAAGATCCCTTTTTCTGATTGTGAAACCACGTGAACAGAATAAACACAGCACGCTGTGAGCCGAGTTTGTGGCCGAAGGCAACTCGTGTGCTGCGTGTGCCCGCGAGGCCCCAGCCATGATGAGGAGCCCAGTGACGAGGATGGGTTTATACACACAGCGGTTCTTCGAGCGGAAACGGTGCGGTATCCTGAAAGGGTTCAGCGGTCCCTGAGCATGAGAGGCATTAAAGCCGGCAGTCAGCAATCACGTCACGCTAAGCCAAGAGCACTGCTCAGCGTCAAACGCTGCTCTGATTTAAGAAACCGTTTGGCAAAACGACATCTGCATTTCGCTCTGCACGCTGAGCCACGACACCCACACCGTGAAACACCGACAATTACACGACGGCACAACTTAAGGAGGTTAAAACCGCGGCCACGCGCCCACCAACACCGAGCCCTCGGCCCCTCCGGCGCACAGCCCGCACAGCCCCGCACGGCCCCGCACGGCCGAACCCGCGCAGCCACCCGCGGCCCGAAACCGCGCCGGGCGGCACGGCCGGACCACCGCCCCACAGCGCCGGCACCGCGCTGTGCCACGAGCGGACGTGGGAGCGACAGAAAACGGGGGCAACAAAAAGTTTCATTTCCCCCCCACCCTCCGCTCCTTCCCTCGAGCCAATCTCGACGTGCCCGTCAGCTCCTCGGGCTCCGGGCTCGGTTACATAAACGGAGCGCACGCCTGGCGGCTCCGGGCGCCGCTAAGCCGGCCCTGCAGCGGCCGAAAGGGAGCGGGGCCGGGGAGCCGCCGGCCCCCGCGGCGGTACTTACGTGAAAACGAAAAATAAAGTCGTCGAACCCACTAACAAGGCGGCCGCTGTAGACACGGGGATGTATTTGGTCGGTTTAAACCTCTTGCCGGTGCTGCTGGGCATCCTGTGGCTTACACATCACTGAGTGAGTCCGAGCCGGGAGGAGCGGCCGGGAGGACGCGGGCACGGCGGGGCCGGGCGGCAGCAGCGAGGGCCGGGCCGCGGCTGACCTCCGGCACAGGAAATCCCACCCCCGGCGCGGCCCACCCGGCGGATGTCGGCCGCCCCTTCAGGCGGCGCGGGAGGAGCGCGGCGCGGCCGCTCCCCGTGCCGGGCCGCTCCTCGGGTTCCGCGCGGGGCGGCGCCGAGGGGCTCGGAGCTCCGCGCCGACGGCGGCGTGAGGCGCTCGGCTCGTCCGACACAGCGCTGCTCCGAACCGCGCCGCGCGCTGCGGGCCCGGCGGAGCTCGGAACGGAACAAGAAAAATCCGCGAGCAAAAAATAGAACAAAACGAGGGCTCTCAGCTTTGCAGAGTTTGCAGTAAAACCGAAAGCATCGGCTTTGGATACGCGGAAAAGCAGAGCGAGCGGCGGCCCGAAGGCACGCGGTTATGCGAGAGCCGGGCTCTGCCCCGCGGCGCCATCCGGCGCTCTGCGGCACTGGGGAGCGGCGGCAGCCTCGGGCCGGGCGCTGCCATCAGCCTCAGCTGCGGCGCGCCGGGCGGCACCGGGCGGGGAGCGGCGCGGCGCGAGGGGCTGCAGGGCCAGCGGCTGCTCGGCACGGAGATGGCCGGTCCTTCGCCCCGCGCCTTACGGCCGGCTGCTTTACGGAGTGCCACGCGGTGCCGAGCCGAAAGCCTTCCGGCACGCGTAGCGGCGCAGCGAGCCGAAGCAGCGCTGTGCTCGGGCAGCATCTGCCCCGCCGCGGCCGGACGCGGGTCGCTGACTCTTGAAGCACACAATAAAGCAGAAGACGCATTTTAGGAGCGCACTTTGGCCACTCACACAAGTCGGGTCTAAATAAAATTCTCCAGAAGAGCTTTCAGGTTAGCGCTACTTTACGTGTACTGCAGAATTGGGCCAGGACCCGGTCTGTGCTTAAAACACCGGTTCTTGTTTGCTAGTGTAACAGCGTACACCACAAACTTCACATGAACAAAAAGTATTTCCACGAATGCAACTGGCACTGAGGGACTGCTGTAGGCTGCGTGTTCACCAGGAGAGCACTCATTGATATTGCATACTTAAATTCACGTGCTGAGAAGTCACACAAACAATTCTTCCCCTCACCTCCTGGCTCTGAAATGATCGTTGAAGATTTCAATGGCATCAGTGAAGCACTGGGTTATTCCCCTTCCTTCTATTTCGAAGCAACAGTAATTTTACTAAGTCCAGTTTGGAAGAACTTTAAGACAAACCCCCCAGGCTGTTGAGTAGCCAGCTGCTAGGCTAGAAGACCAGAACATTCCTCAGCCAAGCGCTATCCAGAGAAATCACTTCACCTGGGCCCTCATCACTTGGCTTATGGAAACTGCAGACTTGAATGGATGGTGTTAGCAATCCATGAACTGTAAGCATGGACCAGTTAACCTAAGCAGGAAGGGAAATGTCTGAAAATCAGTTAAGTATGCACAGGTAAAAAGAGGAGTGTGGGGGAGAGAAAAGGTAATACAGTTCAACAGACTTTGTCAATACTAAGACAAACATTAAGACAAGAACACTTAGAATATTAAGACAAATGATGCTTCCTCCTGTCTTCTGCACATTAGCGAAACCAAATCCACCCGTGTTGCTGCCTCCGCCATACTCTGACCCACAGGCTAAGAACACATTCCCAGCAGAGATCTTTAAATAAAAAGCAAATCCTTTAAATGAAAATTTACATTTATTTTGAAATTTTTAAATGTCATTTCTATCAATTTAGACACAGCTTGACATTATCAGATCAGAGAATTTACAGTGACTCATGGATAACAATTTGGCTTTTACATTCAAATGCTACGTACTTCAAAAGAGCTTTGCTTTGTTATTTCCAAACCAGAAACACTGAAGAACACCGTATTTTGCCTTTTGGCCATCTTTGTTAATTAACAGACTTTTAATATCTGCTGTACTTGAAGGGGAACGTGTACAACACTAAAGGAATTACTTTGAATGAAGTGAGTACCTTAGTTGCAGTTCCACATTTAAGACTACTGGTTGATGGTAGCATCAAAAGGCAGTACTAAGCAGAAATACAAGTCATTCTTTTTTTAAAATATGTTTTCCTCAGGTAGATTGCAGAGCCCGATCTACTTAGAAAGCCTTTTTATGAAGACAGAGGTCTCACTAGCCAATATTAACACCACAAAGTTTAGCAAGTTTTGTTCAGTTTTCATACTTTTGAGAATAGTAACATAGAATTCCATTGCTATCTAACACTAACCTTGTATTAGTGGTTAACAACAAAATTCAATTAATCTATCCAACTTAAATTGTGTTGATTTTATCACTTAATATATATTTTCTCCTACTCTCTAGCAGTAACTTGAAACCAGGCAAGCAATTAACGCTTGTAGGAAAGAGATTTGATCAACTTGCTCATTACTGGCAAGAATTGTGCCCCTTCAGTGTGTACAACATGATTACCTGACCTAAGAGAATAACTGAACTTCTCCCTTCAAGAGGGACAGACTCCCAGAATGCATCCTGTAAGGTCACCACCTCTCCAATTCTCAAAAGCAATATTAAGCTCCAAGGCCCTGAAAAAAAAACAAAGGCTTATAAATTTTAGAGTGTAACTGTTATAAAATGCTGACTGCTGGTACTCCAACATTTAAGACTCCTTTGCGTACATCTTAATATAAGAGACCAATACCGCCTTCAGTCAGCAAGAAGCACATTGTGGAAGATCTGGGACCACAGCTACAACTCTGTGCTAGGCTCAAGCATTTCTAACATTAATGACATCCACAAGCAGTAGAGCAGAGATTTTGTTTTCTAATAGGAAAATAATACTCAGGTCTCGTGTAATGTGTTTGCTAACCAGCTTTATTTTCCCTGTCCAATGGAACACCATTAATAGTGTGCCAGAAATGCTCTACTGCCTGATGTCACAAATGTTCTGCATTTCAAGAATCACAGGTGTGTTTCCTGCTCAGGAACAAAGAGCAGAGAAGAACGTGAAAGGATTGCTGTATTAGTTTCAGAAGATGTGTATGCCATCCTAATCTTCCCTGTTCGTAAAGTCTGTTAATCTTGTCAACCTGGGTAGGACAATATGCATCTCAACACCCAATGAAACAATTGTATTCATAAGCCTTTAAAGCATATAGAAAACTCAATTCTATCCTCTGATGCTGTTTCAAGTTTGTTTTATTCACTCTTTTGGATGACCATAAATAAGTGTTTCCACTATGGAAAAGAAAGTTAGCACAGTACATTTTCATGACTGGGGAATGGATTTTCTGAAGACATCTTCAAAAGGGCAAAAGCTTAGAAAAAACAACCTGAACATTGAATTCAGTTCCTTATAAAGTCCCTTGTAAAAATAAAAAAAGAAAAAATATAAAGAAAAAACTGCAAGGCCCAGGATGATTTATTGCTTTTCTTCATTTTCCTTGGTCTCTTTCTTCTCAGCTTCTTTGCTCTCTTCCTTTACAGAAAGCTCCTCTAGTTTTTCAGCAACTTTATCGGCACTATCATTTTTGTCTGTGCCTGCTAAGAGATTGATGAGGGAGAAAAAAAAGAAAGTTACACACAGGAAGTAGTCAATTTTCCTGTAACAGAGGAACAGTAAAGGTGGAAGGTAAAGAGGATAGGGAGGAGAGACAACCTGTATTTAGAGTAAGAACAAAAGCAACTTTCCACTGAGCACTGGAGTGACTCATTCTGTTTCTTCTTTACTAATTTCTTCCAGTGTCAGAACTCAAGAAATACCATTTGAATATTTTAATCACTAAATGAGGGTCTAATCGTACTGACAGAGAAATACATAACATTTGGTCAGCTTTCATGCTACCAGTAACAGACTGCATTTCCATGCAACAAGGAAATCTCCCAAGTCCCCAGCTTCTTGTCTATCTCAAATGAAAACCACCCTTCCCAAGACTCCACTTCCCCAGTTTGAAACTGGGACAGAAAGGAAGTTCCTAAGAGTGAAAGATTCTGATCTGAATATCAAAAACGTTGATCGCCAACTACTTGTAATCCGTACTTTAGGAAGATGGAAGTGTTTATTTCACAAGATATGCTATCTTGTAACAGACAATTATACAATGCGATGCATTAAGCTATTCAATAAGGACCTGTGAAGACATTCTACCACTTTAAATACATCAAGTATTAGAATTGAACAATTCTATTTCCATGATTACTCAGTTGTGGTGTTTGGGACGGGAAACTGGAAGGAGAAAATATCACTGTGGTTAGAGTGCTCACAGTTCACTTGTGTACTATAAACCAAAAGCACTTCTTCTGCAGCAGTTCAAAAAAAAAAAAAAAAGAAGAAGAAGAAAAAGAAGAAGAAGAAGAAAAGCCATGTCCCAGTAGCAACTGTAACAGCCTTCCACAAGAAAGAAGGCATTCATCACGCCTGTGAGTGATTACTCTTGCAGACAAAAAAGCACCTGAACTGAAGACTGCAGTTCGGTACAGAGTGAGTCTGCTCAAGCACAACGATACACAGGGGGCAATAATCACTCAACAGAAGAGGCACAACATTTAAGACTTAACCCTTACCTTTTTTTGCTCTCTTGTCTACTTCGTTTCTGCATTCTTCAAATTTTGCCTTGAATTTCTGTGCATCTGTTTCAGTAAAGATAGAATACTTTGTCATTAACTTTACCTCCTTCCAACACTGAATGTTTCTCAAGCATCTTCCCTCAAATTCAGACACTGTGTAAACAAAACTTGTAGGTACTTATAAAGTGATTGAGTTTCAGATCATACAAAAAGCTCTACAAAAATTTTCAGCCACTTTTTTTGCGCAGATCTTGAGCAGCAAATCTAAGAAAGCCTCTTCACACCTTCAAAATATTTGAAATAAGATTCCAGAAGGAACTACTCTGTGGTCAGTACGACTCCTAGCTGTCCCTGCCCCACAAAAAATAAGAATACAACAGTATCCTAACACAACTATGCACAAAAGACTGAAGATTAGGTATGAATTACTGGTCCTTCTCCACTACATTACACCCCAGAGGAACTCACAACCATAACACAACTTAGAGTCTCAGCAACAAGTGCTAAAGATAAAGCTTGAATACTGTACTAGTAAGACAAAGACTTGAATTCAAGTTAATCTTGACTACAATAGCTAAGGAAATATGATCTTTCTTATGTTTTGGTCTAAGTTACCATAAACAATGTTTATACAGTTAATACAAGCAACAATAGATTGCTAGTCTGATCAGTCAAGGTACCTCTTAACACCAGAACCATAGAAACAGCAATCTGGTATGCCAGCTTGGTATGACCGACCACACGAGGTCACTGTTGCCCCACAGGAAATTCAGAAGCAGCTGTGAACTAGTTCAAGATATACTAACTCTTTTTCAAGCATCACAAAAAAAGATACCTGAAGGGCTGACTTATGCCTGTTCACCTGTCACCTGTTCAGTCAGCATTATGTTTGCATGAAAAAGCTTAAGCTTAAAAAGTTCTTAGGGCACAAAGCTCTGTAAATATTACTGAAGATTTAGTTGCTATACCATACATCACCACATTTAGTAAAATGTGTAACTGACTTCTCTCAGAGAAAGCAGCAATTAGCTATTGCTTCCAGGCAGCAGTAAGGTGCCATATCTAACAGTGCTTTGCAGTAGCATTTGGAGTATAACACAACAAGTTCAGCAGCTGTCCACTCACTTTCCGCGTTTAAAAACCGGATTGCCAGAAGCTCAGGCTTGGGGCATTCATCTGCAAAGTCAGCATGTGTGTTCCAGACCCATGCCCTGTCGCTCCCAGCATTAGGCCTCAGCTCCATTAAGGGTGTGACTGAAAAGCAAGCATTAAAAGAGGTACAGAGCACAATAATACATGTTTTTCACACCAGCCTTCATAAATCTGAAGGATTTGTTGCTTACATAATGCATTTTATAAGAATTACTTATGGATAAATAAAAAAACAGTGGCATCCAAATATATTTTTCTTTGCATCCTCCAATAAAGTGACACAATGTCATTACTGTATAAAAGAGTGCTGGATTCACTATGGTGCATCTTAATTCTGTCCCAAAACAAACAACTTCTATACTTACCCTCAGAGATGCAAGCATTAAGCACAACCCTTAGGAACAGTCAAATGGTTTAGGAAGAAAAGGCACTCAGAGAGAAAAAGACCATTCTTTTGCACACTGAAAATATTGCATACTACGAGAAAAATAGTTATTCCTAAACTTAGTCATCTAATCAGGCTCACTACTCTCATTCAGAGCTTTACTACAAGGGATTACAAAATTCTGCACTGCTGCAATAAGCATACATACATATTTTCAGCCCATTTGTTCCTTTCCACAAAATGGAGGCCTTTCCCTCCAAGTACATTTCTTGCTTCCCCCCATCCAAATGCCTGGCTCTTGTGTTTAGTTCAGAAGAAATCTAAAGACAGTCAACTCACTTTTTTTTTTTTTTTTTTTTAATAAATTTAGAGATGGGATTACACTGTTTCACTTAACGCTTGTAAAAATGAAAAGGGTCCTTTTGTCTGCCTGCACATCACCAGAAATTCAGTAAAGGAACCAATACTGCAGGCAGTTTTTCCAGGAAAAACATATGTTTATGTGGATATTTTCCTAAAGAAAAGGTTGATTACTGTTACTGGTTGGTGACTGTGCTGCTTCTGTTTTTGCCTTTTCTTTCACCCAAAGCCAGAAACACCTGTGCTCTGATAGTTTGACCTTCTGTGAAGGTCCACAGAAAAATAAACGTCATCGCTTCTGTACTCAGATCTGTATTGTTAATTTAAGCAGTTATTTCAAACTACCTAAATGTAGCTTAACTCCAAAGATACTACATACTCTATAAATAACAAAGTATTATCAAAGCCACCAAGTAGACACGTTTCTTTCTGAACATTTTGTAGTTAGCTGAATATACCTCTTCCCCAAAGCAGAGAAATGCAGCCAGACTAGCTTAGCAAAGTATCTGTTCTCTAATGGTTAAACAATCACTTCTACAACTCAGCCACATAAGCAATAATTATTTAGTGCTCTGCATTACTTTCTCATTCTTTCATGAAAAATGTCAGCAAACATTCCTTATAATAATCAGTATTAAGGTACACATTTTCTGTGATCATTAAAGAACAACAAAGCGTTGGGATCAATGACACCGTGTTGTCTATCCCAGTTAAATTTCAAAGTGTCTTCAAATATCAGCACTCTTTAAGAACTTTCATACTCAACGCTGCAGGCTATCATCAAACTACTTCTGTTCATAAAGGTGAGCACTCATGTTTTGATACATGTCTTTTGTGGACAGAGCAAGAAATGATGGTATTTATAGTCTACTGTAAGTTGGACACTTGCTTTAAGAGGCAGCAATTCTCTGGACACTGCTAAAAGCCACTGGGCTCTTAACTTTCAATGTATAAAGCTCCATCAAGCTTAATTAAAAAAAAAAACACACAAAACAAGAGCATGTATAGCAATGCATAACATACTGTAATGGTTTGCGCAGATTTTTAGAGTTTTATCCCTCCTCATAAGGAGGCGAATTGTTCCCTTCTCCTTGTGCTTCAGCAGTTTTACATCACCAGTTCCTCGTTCTTTCCATTCTGGAAGGTCATTCTCAGATGCAAATCGGAACAGCTTTGCTCGCCTTAAAGAAGAAGAATTTAAGAAGTCAGCCTGCATGTAACAGTTTATTGAAACAAAACACATCCACCTGTACGGTACAGCAGATGTTTTTTAAGCCATGCAAGAAAATGTTTTGAAAGAACCTTGGGAGGTCCTGTGTGGAGCCAGGAGTTGGACTCCATGAGTCTTGTGGGTCCCTTCCAGCTTAGGATATTCTGTGTGATTCTGTGACCACTGCTTTTATTCAGCATGCAGTGTTAGAAACTGATACATATTCAAGTTTACTTGCAAGCTGCGAGGAATTCTTGAACATCTATGCCAGTTTGTTATATTCCAGACACACTTTGGGAAGTGAATGTATTTGACATTTTAAATTAATGTATAAATAACAGCTTTTGCTATTCATAGAGTTCCTACATTAGGAATACAACTGCTACAGCCAGCCAGCAGTAATTTTAATTCCAAAAATGGAGTAGCCTGAAATTAAGGCTCTTGGGTAATTCCAAGCCTGGTGTTTGATGCACCATTAACAAAGTCCTTCACCCTCTAGAATCACTCCCTTCCAACTCCCAAATCCTTGTTATTGCTGCTCTTCAGTCAGGTACAAAGGAAGCCTAGTGTTGCACCGCGGTGCAGCTTACCAGCTTTAGAACATCATTCTTTAATTTTTCAAGATGCCAGTGTACCAAAGGAGAAAAACAAGAATAGTTTGGGAGATCAGTCAACACTGATCACAGAGTTAGCCTGAAGAGCTTAAGACATTGCTGAAGGAAAGGAAACATCTGGTCAAGAGACACTAGTTCCAAATTGATTTTTGTCTGGGATGTGCCTGGGTTCTATGCTGGTCTTCCACTCCTTTTGCACTACATGTTTTAGACTACTATCACATACCTTCAAACCTTTAGTTATTATCCAAGTTCACGTTTTCTTTCAGGCTAAATGAGACAATATTAAAACCAGATTCATGATGCCATCTCCTTCATGCTATTCCAGACCTTAATCAGTTCCTTGGGAGCAGTGCTGTCAGCCCTCCCCAACTCAAACTCTGCCATAAACAGCAGTCAACGTACCGCTGCTTCATACAGAGATTCCTAACAAGTTATCCAACTTCTTTGTAACACATTCAAGCTTAAGTATAAATGGTTAGATAACGTGTAGCAGTGTTCTACTTACATCTTAAAGAGCTCTTCCTCATCCTCTTCCAGAGTTTTTATTTCTTGCTCAGGAAGGGAAACGATGGGCTCAAACTGAGGATCATGGTTAGAATCATCTGCATTTTCAGTAGAAGTATCATGCTCCTCATGTGCTTCCTGGAGGGGGGAAAAGCAAAAAAAGAAAGATAAACTTGCTGCATACTTATATTCACAGCTATTCAGCAATTGCATCTCAGCAACTGAGACGCGCTCTCAAAATAAACCAAATTCACAGTTGAAAATTAATTGCTTTGTGTCGATGTGCAGTTAGACTAAGAAAGAAGAGGCCTTGTGCTGCTTTTGTTTGACCATCCTGGCTTCTGAGAAGTCACTTCTCCAATCGTTTCTCCAGCACGATGCGCTTTATGCTACTAACAAACGCACTACTTCGTGGCTAACAACCTACCATTAATGGGGAGAACAACCATCACTAAAGAAAACACCTCTACCAGCCTAAGTCCATCAAGACAGGCAACAGAAGTTCATTGTTCTCATCCTACGTGTCAGAACTCCCCACAGTCAGAGAGATTTCTGAAGCACAGCAGCAACACTCATTAAGTTATTTGAGTTTACTTCCTTCAAAGCGCACCCTCTGAGGAGCTTTGTTTTTAATTGGTGGCTCAACGGCCAACACGAGGCTTCCTACGCAGCCGCTCGGGGTCGGCCCGCACAGCCGCCGGGCTCGGGACGGCTGCAGCCCGGTGCGGAGGCACGGCACCGCGGCCGCGTGGCACGCAGGTGTGCCGGCAGAGCGCTCAGCAAAGGAGCCTTCAAGGGAGAGCGATCTGCAAACTTAACGAGGCCACAACAGCGATCTCAGGCGGAGGGAGGCGATTCGCGTCTTTTCGTCGGTGCCGCTCGAACAACACAAAGGCGAACGCACCCGCAGGGCGCACACACGGCCTCCCGGCCCGCGGGGCCTGCGAGGGCTGAGGGGCGGCACGGAGCGCCGCGCTTCCATGGGAAGAGGAAGACGGGAAAGAACGCTGCAAAAAACTTTCGGTTATTCGGCTCGGCGCGTCCCCGACGGAGCGGGACGTTGAGATCGAAGCGAGCCGCGTCAAGGCGCGTGGGGAAGGGAGGAGAGGAGCGGAGCGGCCCCGGCGCCACGTGCGGGAGCGGGCAGGCCGGTATCGCGACAGGCGGCACGTGGGCTGCCGCGGGCCGGGCCGCGGGGCGAAGAAAGGCGGAAGGAGCGGGAACGGCGCGGGGAGCGGAGCTCCGCCCGAGCGCGGCCCCGAGAGCGGCGCTGCCCCGGCCGCCTCCGCGCGGCTCGGCCCCCAACCGGGCCTCGGCCCCGGCACACGCGGCCCCCGCCCGCTTCCGTTGCCCCCATCCCCCACCCCGGCCCGCTCCGCCGCCGTTTTCCCTCCCGCCGCCGCCGCCGCTCACCTTGGTGTCCGCCATGGGGCCGGGCTCGCTGCGCTCCGCTCGCCGTCGCCGCTGCGCTTCCTGCCGCGCGCCCCCGCCCCTCCCGCCTTTACCTCATTCCCGCAGCCCGCGCCGCCGCGAGGCACGATGGGAAACGCCCCCTTCCCTCCGCGCCGCCCGCCCCGCCCCTCCGCCTCGCGCGGGACGCCGAGCCGCGGCCGGGCAGCGCGGAGCTTCGAGCCCCGCCCGGCAGCGCGGAGCCGCGGCCAGCAGCTCTGCTCTGCTCTCCTTTCCCCTCCCCTCGGCCGCGCCGTTCCCCCCCCCCCCGCCGCGGCGGCCCGGCCCAAGATGGCGGCGGCGCTGAGGGAGCGCTGAGGCGGCGCGTCGCTGCCCGCGATTCGACTTTTTGTCGGCCGCGGCGGCCCTGAGGGGCGCCCGTAGAAGAAGCGCGTCGCGGCCGGCCGCCTCCTCCCTTTCTCCTTCCGGAGCCGCTCCCGTCCGTCCCGCCCCGCGGCGCGGCGCCATGGAGGCGGCCGAGGGCGGCCCCGACGCGTACGGCTACACCCGGGCGGAGCTCTTCACCTCCGAGATCTACAAGGTGGAGATCCGGAACCTGCCCCGCTACATCGGCTTCAACGACGTGAAGAAGTTCCTGGCCAAGCGCGGGCTGAGCCCGCACAAGATCAAGCTCCTCGGCAGGCAGACGTTCGCCTTCGTGACGTTCAAGAGCGAGGAGGAGCGGGACGAGGCCGTGCGGGCGCTGCACGGCGCCGCGTGGAAGGGCCGCGCTCTGGGCGTGCGGGCGGCCAAGCCCAAGGCCGACCCCATGGCGAGGAAGCGGCGGCGGGAGGAGCGGGCCGGGGCCGGGGAGCCCCTCGGCAAGCGGATCGCCGACGTGGTCACCCCGCTGTGGGCCGTGCCCTACGAGCAGCAGCTGGCCGAGAAGCGGCGGGAGTGCGAGCGGGTGCTGCAGAAGCTGGCCAAGTAATGCCGCCGGTAACGCCGCTCTCGGCACGAAGCCGGCCGCGCGCTGAGCCCGACGCGAACGGGGAGCCGCCGGGCACCGGGCGCCGCCTGCGGCTCGGGGAGCTGCGGGAACGGGACCGCTCGGCTCGGGGCCCCGCACGGCCCGATACCGCCGGGCTCCGCTTACACGTTATCCCCTCGCCTCCCAAGTTCGGTCTTTGCAAATCGAAGCATTTGTTCCATCGTTTCCCTTGATCCCGTAGCTAAAGCTCTGCCCGTGCGTTGGGCGCGCTGGTAAATCTGGCACGTACCATTAAAACTACACGAAGTCTCGTTTCTTGGCACTGCAGGTCCTGTAACACGAGAGCTCTGTTCCCCTGTTAAACCACGGAAGGTTTACCCTGACCAAGTGATAACTTGTGCCTTTCACGGGCCACAACAAGAAAAAAAAAAAGTCTCATATTACTCTCATGTAACTATTAACCTCAGTTGATCCAAACGTGTACTTTTAAATTGTTGTTTCTGATCCGGGCAGGGAAATTGGAAATACCAACAGAGCGCTGCTGCCCTGGCTGTTCCTGCAGAAGCAGAAGTACAACAGAATGTGCTGCCCCATAGAGGGAGTGAAGGCCTCACCGTTACAGGTAATGGAACGCCGGGCTGGCTCAGGGAGCTTGGCCTTCAGGCAGCCATCCTAAGAGACAGTGAAGAAACTGAGGGTTTCTCATCCTCACAATTAATCATGAATTGTAGGCATTGTTGCCTTTCATGTGAATACTGCCTGGAAAGTTTGCTAGAAGCAGAATAATGCACCTTTAAGAAGTGTGCTGTCCCCACAAGCATGTTGTAGGCTAATGGAAACGTTGCAGAGAACACAGGAGTTTGCTCTTGGAATAGCAAGTCTTGTTTGTGCTTTTTCATTATGGCCATTAGTTCCCCTCCACCAGAGCCTGGGAGCATCTTCCACAGGAACTGCAGTGTCCTGCAGGCATGTATAAGTACCTGTTTCAGGATGAACTTGGCATATACAGATAGGTGCTGTCTAAATCTCTTACATAACTTTATTTTAAATCTAGACTGAATATCGGAACAAATGCGAGTTCTTGATTGGGATTGGTGTAAATCAAGAAGACAAAACTGTGGGTTGTCGTCTTGGCAAATATAAGGGCGGTACCTGCGCTGTAGTGGAGCCATTTGATACCATTCACATTCCTGCTGTTGCCAAAAAAGTAGTAAAAGCTTTTCAAGACTACATAAGGTGAGCAAAAGTAAAATGAGTTACCTGTAAAAGTTTTGATGTCTCGGATACTCAGAAGTACTCATAAGACTAACTATGGACAGTTGTAAGACAGCTTCACACAGAATTCGTATTAACAAAAAGCAGCTGCTGGCTTGGCTGATTTGGGGGAGAATCATCCTGCAAGACAACTGTAAAACATTAACAGGCGAGCAGCAACGCTTTCTTAAAAAGATTTGTTAAAAAAAAAAAAAAAACAGTTAAATCCACAGCAATTGAAACCTCAGAATAATTGTGAAAATAGGCAGTTTCACCTTGCCATGAAGCCATGAAGGCACTTACGTCTTAAGTTGTTTCTATTTTCTGTACGTGGTGAGAGGCTGCCTGTGCTCTCTATGAGTTTGGGTGGATTAAAGTGGATGAGGATTATGAAAAGCTAAGGACAGATTGTGTTGCAGGAGGAGATAGGATCTACTTCATCTTTTTTTCCTCAGTTAAGATTTGGAAGTCATCCTTTTCTTGACAAATCAATGTAGCCTCTGCTTTACTTAACGTTTTTGTCGCTTTACCTGCTGAGCTGCTTTTATTTCAATAAACTATTGAACGTTATCCCCCCACAACAGTTCCTTGTTAAGTAACTGAGCTTCTGAACCTTGCAGGTCAACCCCTTACTCAGTTTACAGCCCAGAAACCTACGAAGGTCACTGGAAGCAGCTCACAGTCCGTACCAGCAGGAATGGCCACATCATGGCAATCGTTTACTTTAATCCTCAGGTATTTGGATGCATGACACTGCTTTAAATTACATTAATTTGATTTTCTAAATAGCGCATGTGAAAGAGAAATGGAATTGTTATTTGGTACTACTTTTCTACTTAAAATGGTCTGATACACGTAAATGAACAATTAATTTACGTCAGTAAGTTATCTTCTCTATTATATATTGCTACCATACGAGTGGCATGTAGCAAATAATTTGTTAAGTCACACATTATTATTCTCCCTCCTTTTCAATGAAACCTTTAGAAATTAAGCAGAGAAGAGCTAGCTGACCTGAAGGCTGCTCTGGCAAAACACTTCACTGAAGGGGCAGGGAAGGAGAGCAGCATTACTTCTCTGTACTTTGTGGAGGAAGGCCAAAGGTAAGGGACTCAGCTTTGCTGTGGGGAATTCGGGCAGTGGCAGTTTTGTTGTCTTCAACAGTAAAGTAGGTGGCACTTCCACACCCTTAGTTCATCTGTTTCTAATTCCTAAAGGTAACAGCAGCATTACTAATTTAAATATAAATTAAACCGGTAAATAACGGTTATTTACCTTTTCCACAAAACTCCTGAAACTTCCGCATTCCTGTAGTGGTGCCTGGAAAAAGGCAGCTAGCATTCCTGTGGTGAACCCGCTGTTAGTGGGTAGCTGCCACACTGGGGAAGTGTTTGCTGCAGGAGATGGCTATTTGCTCTTAACAGTTAAGTTCTGCCTCTTTTTAGGTCCAACTATGTATAAATAGAACAAGAATTCTAAGAAAAAACTCCAGGACAACATTCTGTAGAATACAATTGATGTTGCACACAATAAATTACTATCGTATGTAGCAGTATAGTTTTTAAGGTGACTTCAGCCTTGGGAAAAATGGCAACAAACATGCCTGTCTGCTTTGTTTGTTTGTTTCTCCCTTTCCTCCAGGAAATCTCCCAATCTGGAAGACTTGCCTTTGGAGCACGTGGCTGGCGATAAATACATCTATGAAGAACTTCTTGGCCTAAAATTTAGAATTTCTCCTCATGCATTTTTTCAAGTAAGGATGATACTGAGCTGCTAACTCAACTGGATTTGCATTATTGCCTTCAAAATTGGCTGCTTCCCCATGACAAGATAGTATATACTTAGGAGATGTAACCTTTTATACTTTTGTTGTGATTAAGTACATTTGAGTATTGTGATCTGCTGTTAAAAGTCAATAAATGAGCATTAGTGTGTTTAGTGGGATGTCAAAGGTGGCTTTTCCTTTCACTGCTTCAGTATTGTGATATTGTGATATTGCTTCCTGTTGAGTGGCCTTGTACAGAATGTGCAGTAGCAGTTCCATAATCTTTGTAGTTCTTGTTTCCTTTTCCAAGAGGTAATCCTTCCCTCTCAATGCTTTTAATCCTGAACGTGTAGTCTGTGCTGTTGCAATGGAGTTAAGTGCTGAAGCAGAAGGAACACAGAAACCAAATCATTGTATTTCAGAACTGAATGACACTTTTGTAATGGTGTCATGACTTGGAAGTCAGCCATGCATGACTTTTAAGTTACACGTAAATGGGACTTGTTTCTTAGAAATGAGGTAAAAGAAAAGCTGTTCTACAACTCATTAAAACACATTTACTGTTTGTGAAGTAGACCGGTTTGACATTGATTTCACAGGTAAACACACAGGCTGCAGAAGTTCTGTACGCTGCCATTAAGGAGTGGGCAGAATTGAGCCAAGAAAGCACTGTGCTTGATATCTGCTGTGGTACTGGAACTATTGGGATTTCTTTGGCCAAGGTAAGTAACACCTACTCCTAGATATAATCTTTTAACAGTCAGATGTAGATCTTTTGTTATGCTTATGACAAAAAAAAACAAACAAAAAAACAACTTGGTGTGTGTGTGTATATATATATATATATACACGTATGTGTACACACATATGTATTGTAGGAAAAGGCAACAGCAGATAACCAGTTCTAAATGACCCAAAAAAAGGGTGATGGTCACAATCTAGTAAAGGAAGGAAAAAGTATAAATTTGCTTACCTGTCCTAAGGCTCAGAGCTCACCAGACACTCCAGAAGGAGGGATCTCCAGTTAGAGATGCTTCTCTTGTAGCTGCCAGCCCTTCAGTGAGGCTTAGGGAGGGCTGGAACCAGGCTCCACCCCTTCTGGTTATGCAGCTGAATTGCTTCCACCTGTGCTCCCAGGCTGGCTGTGTCCCTTCACCAGATGCTCAATCATTGGTTCAGGCTGTGACTTATTCCCATACATATATGTAATTGATTTCTAATTAAGTTGTTTTCAGCTATTTATGAAAACTCACTCTTGTGTTGAGTGTCCTAAATTATCTTCAATTAAAAATCAAAAGAGGCCATAATTCTGTAGGATAGCCAAAACTTACTAAAAAAGATGTATCCACTTAACAACTAGTTGTGTTTTGTCAGAAATCTTTGGTTACAAATAACCAACATTTCTGATATTTGCATCATTTTTTGGCGTAGAACTTGCTAGAGCATTTTAGGAAGTCTGGAGGCTCCCCTAAGAAAATAAAAAGCTCAGCATAAGTAGAGTCTGTTACTTACCTGCTGGGATAAAAGGTATTCATCCCTCAGTTTCAATCTTAAGAAGCCCCCATTATTTGCACAGGTTTCTTCTCAACTTTTTCTGTCTGCAAGGCATGAGTTCTCTAGCCAGGTGTTGCTCCAAGTTCCCGTTAGTTACTGATGCTGTGAATAACTACTACATTTATGTGTCATGGGCTGATCTTTTCCCCTTCATTCTGTAGAAAGTGAAGAAAGTGATTGGAATTGAACTCTGCCAAGAAGCTGTGCAGGATGCCAAAGCCAATGCCCAGATTAACGGTTAGTTAATCTTTGTTTTCTAGGAAGTGTAGGAGTTACTCAGCTAGTTCATCTTATCTAAGAAGCCTGTAATTACATATTATCCATAATAATCTTGTCCATTTTAACAATATAAACTCTTCTGAAAACAAAATTGCAGGATAATCTGTATGATCAATTTTTGCGCTGACAGCTAGCATTGTTTGTTCTTTCTCATAAATAGAACACTTCAGTGCAAATGTGAAACGAAGCCACAGTTACCCTTATAAACTAAACATTAAGCAGCAGCTATTTTTTGTGGGCTTTTGCTTTAGTCTAGATAATGACACACATAAGTTACTGCTGTTTAAACAAGTTGATGCACCAGTCAGCGATAATTTAAATTTCTGATAGACTAAACAATTTGTTGTTTGTAAGGCATAAGGCTTCCATACTGACAGTATTGAAACTTGGGAGTATTGAAAGATGCTGTAACTAATAACATTTATTTAATTGTTTTTATAGAGCTGAGTAATATTGAATTTCATTGTGGGAAGGCTGAAGATATCGTTCCTTCCTTAATTAACGTATTAGCTCCCCAGAACCTGATTACTATTGTAGATCCACCTCGAGCAGGACTGCGTAAGTTTACCTCCTCTGAGTTTTAAGTGCATTCTCCTAGTTGTTTTCTGGTGGGGTGCCTAATGGGATAAATGAAGTGGGAGACTGTAACTGTAACTTGAAGTGGTGGAGTACCACACCAGTTTTGTTCGTGATGGAGTATATGCTGGAATTTTTCTGATGTCTGTTGACATTCATACCCAGTCTCTTCTTTGTCTAGATTCCAAAGTAATTCTTGCAATTAGAAGAGCTGAACAGCTGAAGAAGCTTATTTATGTGTCCTGCAATCCTAGAGCTGCAATGAATAACTTTGTGGAGTAAGTAGTTCTTGTATTAAGTAGACTAAGTGAACATGGTAAAAAAAAAAAAAAAAAAAGTCTTTGCTGCTGGGGAGGAGGGCTGAGATTGGCTTTTTATTTTTTAAGTCCTATTCATTGCATTTTACTTTTCATCTTGATGCAAAAGATGCTGCTTTGGGAACAACCTATGTACGAGTGTGCTGACAAACCCTATCACGGCATGAGGCTTGGGGAAGAAAAAACTTAAAAGAGTAGTAGTGATAAACAGTGTAGTAAAATATTAATAGGTCTTCCTCCTCCATCTTCCTCACCAAGCCTTTGCCGGGCCCCTTCCAACCGAGTCAAAGGAGCTGCCTTCCGTCCTGTTAAAGCAATGGCTGTGGATCTCTTCCCTCAGACCAAGCACTGTGAGTTACTGATACTCTTTGAGAGGGTTGAATATGCAAACGGAAGCTCTGCTGAAGCAAAGCCTGATGCTGCTCAAGTTGCAGCAGAATGCGACAACTCAGAGAACTTAGATGGTGCCAACCCAGCTAACACTGATGCAAACCAGGCAGCTTCTGTAGCTACAGATACAGCATGCAAAGAGAAGGAATCGACTTAACGCCTGTGAGATACTTTCCAGAAACTACTTCTGTGTCTTAACTGCTTCAATAGTATTATTGCTGTAAGACCTAGGTAATAAATCTTAACAACAGAGTGGTTGCAAGGCTTCCACTTATTTAATCATAACACTAACCTGAATTCAGTTTAATTATATCCTATTGAGCTAAATCCAGCTTTTCTCAGCCTGCCCTGGGGGAAACATGGGTGTGTGGATAGGCAGAGTGGTCTCTGGTTGAGATGTAGCATTAAGTTGTTGTTCTGCACTGACGTGGAAGTAGCTGAAAGCTGGGTGGAATGGTGATGCCACAGACTGTGCTAACAGGCTGCCCTCTGTATTAGGGAGTGCTTGATGCTTAACAACAGTGACTGAAGAACCTAGGTTCTATTTTAAAATACTTTGAGGAAGCAAGGGAGCAATGTTCCTTTTCCTGAACATGCTTTGGTTACCACAATACTGATCACACTGCAGCACTTTATAATATCAAACTTTATTGCTCAAAACTAATTGTCTGAAAAATACACATGTAGTACTCAAAGACCAAACACAGAGGCTTATATGATTGTGCAGAAGAAAGCAAGCAGAGGCTCAGTGAAAATGAGGCTTTATAGTTGTACCAATTTAGCACTGGCATCAAGCAACTGCACCCACTACAATTCATACAGCAACCTTTGTTATCTACTTGGGCATTAAGAACGATTTTCTTTTTTCCCCCCACTTTCCCTTCTCAGATACACATCAGAATACTGTAACTGAACATTTTATTTGGTTAAGAACAGCATGGCTTCTTGCACTTCACCTTTCTTCCTGGGGCAAGTTAGGCAGCTACTGCTTCCTGATTTTTACTCCAGAACCAAAGTACAGTCTAGAGAATTATTAAGATAAATCATGCTTTTAAATACTTAGATGTTAAAAATATATTTGTATAAAGCCTAACAGCAGCGCAGGAAAGTGGAAGTTCACATACAATAGTTAAGTTTATGCATAATAGTCTTTCCAAACATCTGAGTACCCAACTACTGGGCCAGTTTTGTTTCTAATAAATATTTAAGAAAAAGCTGAACGACTGGTGTTCAAATAGGTAGCATCTGTCTGGTCACTGCAAGTCACAGTCAGTTTTCCATCAGTACCGTAATGAGCGGAATGCACACTAACCCTTACAGTCCATAAACCACACGCTTGTTGAGTAGCACATAATATGCAAAGCAAAAACTGTAACTCCCAGAGGGAACAGTTCTTAAAAATACACTCCGTTCCTATAAAAATACCCATCCTTCTCTGTGTATAGAAGGGATAAAGAACAAACATCAGTGACAAAAGCAGCAGTTGATTTTATGCATTCGTACAATCAAGATCTAAACCTTTACAGCCAATTACCTAGGAAACACACAAGTTACAATACAAATTTAGGATACATCTTGAATCACGCTGTAAGTGTTCATGCAGAAGCTGAAGTTAATGCAATGATCTATCCTCTATCAAAGCAGCTCGTGCTTATGTGCAAATGCAAGACTGTTACACTCCAAACAATAGTAAACATTAAAACACAAGAATACTTCACAATGACAATTAACAGCAGTTAAGTTGTTTGTTCCAGCAGTTATTGCGCTATTTTCTGGACGTCTCTCCAGTTAGAGGCTGCAGCAAGGTCTAATACCATCTTTTTTGTTTTTCTGTTTAGAATGCATAATATACGTTCTAGGCTTTGGTTCACAATGAAATCTGTGGATGTTTTAATTAAGGGCAGCGGTCACCTTGTGATCTGATAGTGGCAGACTGAGGTAATACAGCAATCCTCTTAAAAGTAACAAAATCAAATTTGTATGTGAGGCATCTACGGATATTCTGCAGGTGACCTGCAAAGACACTGACATTCTGATTTCAGAACAACGAAGGATCTGCGAGGGTGATTTGTCTGTTACAGTGCTGTCCACATACAGGTATTCTGCTGAAAACGTACAAGCCGAAGTAAAGCCTACCTACTGCAGTAACACACTGAGGCATAGAAGAGAGAAGCCCTGTCTTTATGAAAAAAATAAATCAAGAGACAAACAGTAATCCCTGCTTGTCAGCACTGCACCAATATTATATACCTTCCAAAGAAAGATGGAGATTGGTTAAAGCTATGCTGCTAAAAAAAAAAAAAAAAGCAGCAGAGGCAGTATTTTGTTTTTGTTTTTTTTAAGATAGGCCACTTTAAATCATAGTTTCTGTATAGTCTTCCAACTACCCGTATCCTGTTAGCACAGGTTTACAGCTTGCGGAACAGAAGCTAAATAGAATCATGAACAGAGAGCAGATTCATATTTGCAGAGCTCTGAGCGTGCCATTGGAACAGAGACAGGCGAGGCTCTAAGGCTCCTGGTTGACCTCAGACATCATAAGCCACATAATAGAAAACAATAGTTTCAGATAAAAATAAAATCCTTGCAATTCCAAAATAACAGCTGTGATATTAAAAGGAGGTCTGACAATACTGATGCCAATATTGTTAAAATCCAGTAGGCACAACGTTCATTACACTGCAGCATTCTACACGTAACATGGTATTAAACAATAAAAAAGGAAAAAAAACCCCTGAACAATCCAAGAACATTCCTCATCGCCCCTCCCCACCCCAAGCCCCAGACTGCTGTCCAGATAAGTACCAGGAACTGCAGCAATTAGAAAACTGACCTCTTCCACTCTGGCAGGAACATAAGTTAGAGCAGGACAGCTCTTGGGTAAGTAACTGGTCGAAGCCCTACCTTCCTTCGCTTCTTTTCTATTCTTCTTTAAGAGCAATCCAAAGAACCCACAGAAATGGTTCTGAGAAAAGACGTACTGCGATCACCCAGTAAATAACACCAAAGGAAGAAACCTCACACAGCAGGACGTGCACTACAGCCAAAGCTATGCCTTCTGTGCTAAACATCACCAAGCCTCAGCAGGCACAGAGCACTGCCTGGTCACGAGGGCTGTACTTGATAGTAGTTGCATATTTGTGGTTTTCCTATCCATCCATACAACTTGTTATGGTCTCACATTCTACTCATTACTGTGTCATATTTTGAATCTACATTCTAGTTTTCATTGCAGAAGTTATACTTTCTCCTCAAACACTAAAAATGCAATTACAAAGTAAAAACAAAGCTTAAAAAAAACAAAATTGCTGCAGTTAGTTCAGATTTCTCAGGGTTTTCTTTATTCTTTCTTTTTTCTATTGTTTTCAAAACTTTTTGATTTTAAGCTGCAAGTTAAGACTTAATTTGTCAGGTCAGATGTAATCTGACTCCAAACAAATGAGAAACTTCTTTCTTGCTAGGAGAAGAGAGTGGGACGTCTTTAAACACCGCATTGGCAAAATATTTTCAGACTGTCAGCTGTCTTCAGTTACAGTTTGGCTCCAAGCTTTGAAAACAGCCTTTGAAATTCCTGATTTCACTTTAATCTTATAAGCAGGGCCTTATTTTCCCCTTTCAACTATCAATAAACTAACATTGGCTCTTTTTCAATTAACATAAAACACAATTTTGAATATCCAGCCTGTTGCTCTTAACACTACCAGGTATACTTGTTCTGTTCAAGTAGTATTAAAAAAGTCTGCATACTGTGATCTTGAATAACTAAGCCTGGCAGGAGACAAAATAAAATAGAAGAAACAGCATTACTGGCCTAATCCTATGGCGTTAGGAACATTGCTCATCATTTTCATGTATTTGCCACCGAAGTGTCTTATCAGTGCATATTATTATGTGCTGAAATGCAACAAGACTTTACACAAAAACAGTTTTAGGCATGTTCATACAAGACACGTAGATATATTTCTTTTATATATACATATATGTGTGTGTGTATATATAGTATCAGCTTTAACCTGTATATAGATATTCTGAATTTCATCCTTAAAACACATCCATTTCAAACAACATGGATGATTTTCAAGGAAAAAGTGCTTGCTTGACCATGTCCTGTGTGAACATGCCTGTCCTCTGTGCATCTTGCCCAAGCAGAGATCTTTATGATCAAACCTTGACACGTACGTATCGCATCTCAGAGGTATAAAAAAAAAAAAGAAAGAAAAAAAGTAATATTGCCCTGATGATGCAAAAAGAACAATGCATAACTGAAGCAGCTTGGATTTTAAAAGTTATCTTGCATTCTGCAGCAAACAGATTTTAAATAGTTGTTGGAAATCTAGCTCCTCCATTTGTGTTATTGCTCCCTACTTGGAAATTCTCCCTTTAGACATCAACAGTGCACAGCGGTTCGCTGCCAGGCTGAGCCGATTCCACAATCGTCATCTTGGGTTTCTTCCGCGTTTCCTCCTTAAAAACACAAACACAAAACACCGTGGAACAAAACCCACCTTGCAGTCACAGAAAATATGTAATACTAAGAAAATAATTTTGCACAACTGTAGCCAAATTTGTGTTAGTCTCTGTGGAAGGTTAATTTGTTCTAATGGCAGTTTACCAAAGTAAAATTAAGTAATAAATCCACTTAAAATGCAGAATGAAAATCTCTCTAAAAGCAGCCCTATTTACATTTAAAAAAAAAAAAAAAAAGTTATGAACAACTCCTTATGTGAGATACTGCAGGAGATGAGCACAAATTTTACAATTAGTAAGCCTGGCCTATGGCATTTTTGTTTGTAAATCAAATAACGTAGAAGAAAAATAAAACCAAAACAGGAGCATATACTCACTCTTTCTTGTGCCAGTTTTTTCATTTCTTCCTGTAACTTGTTCAGGATGTGCAGATTTGGCTTGTTCTTTTTGGCATACTGCTGAAGCTCTATCACGCTTTTATCAGACGTCTCCTGTTCAGTGAGACCATAAGCAACAACAGATGAGCTGTTTTGATTTAAAAATGCATACACATGAGAAATTTTCTCTCTGACAGCTGTTTTCTTAAGTAATAAGACAGATTTATGTGAGTTAGTTTCGTATTACATAGGTTAGATAGTTTCTGTCTGACAATACAAGATTAACAGAATTGCCAGTGAAAGCATCGCACTCTGGCAGGAGCAAGGTGTGAGGTTCATCAATTTGGAAGAATTGAGACTTGCTCACCAAACACACACTGCCCTGCTCACGACAGGGAGCAAAAAGATGATGCTGAGATAGATGCCACCACGGTTTTTTTCTAATTAAATCAAAAACCAACAACAAAACATAGAAAAAAATACACAACATAGATCACAATTAAATGAAATCATCTTCACCTGTTTGACCATCTTGCTACTCTCTCTACCATACATACGCAAAAGAGAGCCCCAATTTTTCACATGTGGATGCAGTAGCTGTAGGATTTTCTGTGAAGCTAATTGCTTCCCCACTCTTTTATTTTTGCCTGTAAAAATAAGCATGAAAATGTGTCATAACAGTACTTTACACAGTTAAACACCAAGTTGACTTGTGCTATTCAAAGCTGAGACACCAGAAAAGAGTAGAATAATAATAAAACAAGTTGGGTAACTGAACAAATGCCTGCAAAATGGATAGTAGAGAACAGGAAGAAAAGGAAGATATCAGAGGTCACATTAGGTGCTGTACTTACACCAGCCTCGCACTGTGTGCTTGCCACAAGTCATGACATATTCACTCTTCTGATTTTTACCAGGAATCACTTCAAATTTTATGGATGTGTCACCCATTCCATGGTTTCTTGAGCACAATGAATAAATAAACCAACATCATACGCTAAGTACAATTGCAAATAAACAAAGTAATTACAGTTATCTTTGTCAGTAATTGCTGTGGTGTTAGATACAGCAATAATAAACTTTAAGACATTAGTTAATAGGGAGTTATTTCTTAAATCAGTGACTTGACTTGAATGAGAAGAGAACCCCACATAAAGGAAAAACAAGTCTATGTCCCATGATTATATCCTAATCTGAGAATTTTCTTCCAAGAAGCAAACCCACAAAATATTAGTTAAGGAAAGACACAATATTAACAGTTCAGTCCATACCACCTCTCTTACAGGCAGGCAATGAGTGCAGTAAGCTCGGCCAGCCTGCAAGTGTCCTTAGGTTACTGAGGAACACCGGGCAGCAGCATCCAAGCAAACCCTGTGCCCTGACTCAGACGTGTACAAAACAGAATCCTCATGCTGCAGCCTTACCTTTTAAGGCACTCATGGAGAATCTGATATGGAGACAAGAGCCCAGCTTTGCTGGTCAATTCATATACCCGTGAGTCCTCAATACTGATATGGTTAAAATACTACAAAGAAATTGAAAAGAGGTATGAAAGTTTTTGTGCAAATCAAACTCAAATACTGTTCTAAATGATCACCTCTCCTGTGTAACATTAAACAAACATCGTTACTCTGCACCAAAAAGTATTCTTAAGTGCAAAAAAATCTTTAGCAACATCATTAAAATTGCCATCCAGCTGAGAAAACGAGGCTATGGATTTTTCCACACTGAAAACATATTTAAAAACTGAGACTCCAGTAATCACAGCCATCAGGCAAGAAGCTGGTACCTCAAGTTCTTCACTGTCTTTGGGCTTCTCTTCAGAGGTTTGCTTAACAAAGTCAGGAATAAGGATTTCCAGTGTAGCTCGAGCTGCAGAAAATGATTTAATGTTGTGATTAGCTTTATTTTAAACGACAACTGTGAACAGAAGCAGAATAAAACACAATTTAAGTAAGCCTCCCATCTTCCCTAGAGATCACCATACATCCTAGAAAACAACAGGTAAGACGAGCATCTTACTCATCCTACTGCAACCAGCACATCCACTTGAACATAGGATTGTTCTCCTTAAAAAGCACAAGTTGATAAGAAACATCCCACAGCTATTAAACTGCACTAAGCTACTGCTTTTTGCACATGCTTATAGAAGGAGAAAGAAATACACATCTCATTCTCACATCAAGCAATGCCCCCGTGGGACCTAAAATTAGAAATACGTCATCATCCCTTTATTGTTATAGTAGAACCTTAAAATTGTACCTCTAGGGCACTCACAATTTGCCTCAGTTATCCCAACAAAACACCTTTTTTTCATGCACAAACAATTGTGTGATGGCTTTTTATATTTTAGCCACATTAACAAACTTCACCAAAGCATGAAGTCCCACACCACATATATTACACACCTCCAAATGCTGACACTGTGCTAAACACAGCACAGTCTGAAGATGGTAAGAAGTTCTAACATGCAAGACATTCCCCTTCAGTTATTCACTATATTATTAATAACAGACAGTTAGAACTATGACTAATTCTGTTTAATCTGTAATAGTGATAATTACTTGGAAATCGGTGTAAGTAATAATATAGTTCAGTGCAATATCACCAGAAAGGGAACTAGCTCAACCAGAAGCTTAGAGGTTTTGTTGTTTGCTCTTTTCAGTTTTCTTTTGGTGGTGTTTTGATTGTTGCTGTTCTTAGAGAGAGGTTAAGACTTAAATTGCACTAAAATTCACGAGGTAGGCGTTCATACAGCAGAGAACTGCAGGAGGAGGAGTTGGACCAGGTGACTTTTGAAGATCCATTCCAACTTTAAGGATTCTATGATTCTAAATTATAAAAAAACTCAGCATGTACACACTGGTGAGATAATTGGAAACAGATGTTTTTACAGCTTATCAGCACAAATCAGAAATTAACTTCTGAAGTTTCTTCGTGGTTTTCTATCCCAGTACACTGCTCAACTTTGGGAAGTCTCTACAGCAGTACTAAGACTACATGGGTGCATGTTTCATAAACAATTATCAAAGTTATTCCTACTTACTACTACGAATATGGTCATCTTCAAAGCAGAAATGAAAACAGACAAACAATTCAGCAGTTGGCATTAAGAAAGAAAGAACCGTTACCAGCTTTATTCTTGGCAAGCTTTTTGCTGCTGGCAGTTCCTGCCCCATAAGTTACTCCATCAATAATCACTGAGGCTCCAAAAGGCTCACTTGGGTTCTCTGAAAATGGAGAGGAAAAAAGGAAACCTTTCCAGGAGTCCCCGTGTATAACAGCCACATACATGAAATATCACTATTCTCAGTGTTTGTTTTCCTTATTTCAACTTCAGCTAGGATGGATACTGCATATTCTTCAGAAAGACTGAATACTCCAGCACATGAAATCCTAATGGTTTCCACTAACACACACTTCCCACCACGTGCACTTCATTCTTCCAAACAAAGAATTTCTCCATTTTAAGAGATGGTTTAAGATCTGCCAGAATTCAAATGTTAATTCCAAAGGCTTTTTGCATCACTACTACAGTGCAAATACAATATGCTGATGTTAAAACCTCAGTAACATTACACAATGCATTTATAAGAACAGAAACTATAGCATCCACACTAACCTAGGACACCTGACTTAATTCTTTGGATGCTAACTGCAGGGCATAAAATACCTGTAATAGTACCACAGTTCTATCATTTTCCAGAGAATGAAGAAATGCCAGACAAACGAGTGCCTTAATGCTATAAATTCTGTTGCTATAAAGCAAAACCTACAAGGAACATGCACTATGTAAACCAGAACAGAATAATCCCACAAAAATATTGCAGCTTTAAGAGAGTACATACATCTCTGCAGAAACCTTTCAAATTCTTAAATGCTTCCTAATCAAGTGCCCACAACTAAATTCCATCGTTTGTCTTCAATTAGATTTTCATGATGTTACTGACAGAAAAATTAAGCAAATATTAATTGTTCATAACCAGTATAGCTACATTCCCATGATGCACCCTTTTAAATACAACTAAGTTACTCCAATGCATTTTCACTTAGTATAGGTTTTTGCTTGGAAAAAAATGCCTGTTATTTTACAGAGGTCCTTGTTTGAGATGTGCAGAAAACATTTCCTAGCTAGAATGTGGCTCACAGCAGACTCTCAAGACATCCTCTAGGAAAAATGTCCACTGTTTGGTTTTATTTCACTCTGAGAAGCTCTTCACAACAGCATTGTGCTCAGTTTGAAACCATGACAGACTTACCACATTCAAAGAAATTGTAAACAGGGCGAACCTTTAGGACTCGTTGCATATATTCATGCAGTATGCAAACTTCAGATTTCCCATTGGGATTAATGACAAATTCTACAA